GAACAGAAAGATTTTGTGGATCCCCAGTGTAGTTAGGCCACCATCCCGTGGGATGGGGAGAAGGCACTGAGCATGGATTTCCTTATGCCATTGGGCAGAGGACAGGGAATTGCAAGACTCTGTTAATGGTACCTTTCTGGGTAAATTGATCTGTTGGTTTGTATATCAAGACACTTTGTCTTGCTGTGGCTAATGATACGTCAATCATAGATTTCTTGCTGCTACTGCAGCTGGCCGATGAAACCGTTGCTAGGGTGCGGGTTGTAGAGCAGGTGCTAGAACGCCCATTAAGTCTTTTGGGCTTCCCTGCTCCTAGTCTTTTGGCTGGAGAGAGTAGATTTCTCTTGGTGTGTGTGTTTGCACCTGTTAATAGTTCCAGGTTGTAGGCCTGCTGTCCAATGCCCATTATGGGGGCATATAAGAAATAAAAAGAAAATCCATGGACAAACTTCCTGGGAAGATGGTGGAGTAACAGGATCCTGAGCTTATCTCATCCCAAAGATACACCTAGATAACACCCACATCAGTTTGAATATGACCCGAAGACTGCCAGAACAGACTGTCCACAGCTAAGTATAGAGAAAACTGAAAAATGTAGGAATGGCAGAGATGTGGGCAGGCACCAAACTAACCTTCAATGTCTGTGGGAGGGAAGGACCCCTGAGGCACTGACAAGGAAGAGGAGCAGAACCCACCTCAGACATCCCAGGCATCCCAGGCATGGGGTGCCCACACTGGGAAAACGAGTCCCCGTAACGTTTGGTTTTGAAAGCCAGAGGGGTCTAACTTCACAAGTTTTTAAATTAGTTGGGCTTAACATCTGGAACTTTAAAAATCAGCTGGCTCAGCTCTGAGAAAGCCAGGAGGGTGATAGGAAACTGAGTCCCTGCTCCTAAAGAGACAGCATAACAAACAGCCCTGCTGATAGGTAGCATAGAAATGGCAATTTGACAAATGCCTGAGGTACGTAGGAAGATTAATTTGCTAACCTGAGAATACGTGCTGGTGGCCAGGGATCTATGGGAGACTTCTCTAAGAACAAAAGAGCTGGCAGGTACCATTTCCTTCCCCTGCCCCCCAGCATAGATACATGGATACCTGTGGGAAGCAGCAGAGCATGCACACTCTCCACCTAGCTTGCTAACAGTATGCCCTGCCCTCATGCTCTCCTGTGGACCCTCTCTCAGCAGTTCTCCAGAGTGGCTGGCTATAGGTCCTCTCCCACTGCCCGCCAGTAAAAACCTTGCTAACACCACACACCTTCCCCCATGTTCTCCTTTGGATCTTGCCCCTCCAACATGGCCTGGTAGGTGTTCTCCAAAGTGGTGCTACAAGTGTGACAGTGTGCAAGCATCTCCAACAAGGGCTAGCACCACTTCCTACTGACTTCTGCTCTGGGCACAGGGGAAGATAACCATATCAGTTCGACTATGGCTTCAGCAGTGGGCTGGGAGCAGACATCAGATCTGACTGCAGGCCCTGCTCACCAAGGACAGCTTCTCAGGAAACAACACAAGGAGAGCACCCTGAAGTTCGGTGCTACTGTGTCTCTGGCAAACACCTACTCTGACCCAATTCAAGCCCAAAGCAGCCCCAGACTGGCCCACTACCAACACGGGAACTAAACTCAGCTCACAGCAGGCAAAGAGAACCTCTGCAGATGACTAGACTGAAGGCAAATGCAGTTCAGCCACAATAGTAGGGCACATGCAACACACGTAGGAGACACCCCTGAAGTGCCAGGTTGTAGTGAATGGAGGACACTGCATGGCAGGACACTACAGGACTTCTTCTTCATAAGGCCACCACTTTCATGAACTGGAGACATAGCTAACTTTCCTAACACATAGAAACAGACACAGAGATTTAGACAAAATAAGGAGACAAAGGAATATGTCCCAGGTGAAAGGACAGACTCACAATAAGAGACCTAAATAAAATGGAAATAGGTAATATGGCTGATAGAGAATTTGAAGTAATGGTCATAAAGATACTAATTGGAATTGTGAAAAGAATAATGAAACTCAGTGAAACGCTCAACAAAGAGAAAGAAAACATAAAAATGAACCAATCCAAGATGAAGAACTCAAGTGAAACTAAAAATACACTACATGGAATAAGTAGTAGACTAGAGGAAGCAGAAGAATGGATCAGCAACATGGAGGACAGAATAATGGACAGCAATTAAGCCAAACAGGAGAAAGAAAAAATAATAAAAAATGAAAATAGATTAAGGGAACTCAGTGACACCATCAAGCATAATAATATTCACATTATAGGGATCCCAGAAAAGAGAAAAAAAGGGCAGAAAATTTATCTGAAGAAACAACAGCTGGTTTCAAGATATACAACAAAGTTGTAGTAACCAAAACAGCATAAAATTAGACACATAGTTCAATGGAAATGAGTAGAAAACCCAGAAATAAACCCAAAATTATATGGTCAATTAATCTGTGACAAAGGTGGCAAGAATATCCAATGGGGAAAAGATAGTCTCTTCAACAACTGATGTTGGGGAAACTGCAGAGCTACATGCAAAAGAATGAAACTGGACCACTTTCTTAAACCATACACAAAAATAAACTCAAAATGGATTAAAGACCTATGAGTGAGACATGTAGACTTTTTTAGTCATGAAAATGCTAGAAGAGAGCACAAGTATTGGTTTCTCTGACCTTGGCCATACCAACATTTTTCTTTGTATGTTTCCTGAGAAAAGGGAAATAAAAGCAAAAATAAACTGTTGGAAGTACATCAAAGTAAAAAGCTTCTACACAGCAAAGGAAACTTTCAATTAACAACACTAAGACAATCTACCAAATGGGGAAGACATTTGCAAATGACATTCCTGATAAAGGGCTAGTATCAAAATTGTAAAGAACTGATACAACTCAACACCACAAATACAAATACATTAAAAGTCACTGAAATGTACACTTCCAAATCGTGAAACTGGTAGATTTTGTGTGAAACTGGTATGTTTTACCACATACACAAAATCAGTAAAAATGGACAAAAGACCTATGTTCCCAATCTTCTTTATTAAAGAAGAAATGCAGGGACGCCTGGGTGGCTCAGTGGGTTAAGTCTCTGCCTTCAGCTCAGGGCATGATCTCAGGGTCCTGGGACTGAGCCCCGCATCAGGCTCTCTGCTCAGCAGGGAGCCTGCTTCTCCCCCTCTCTCTCTCTCTGCCTATTTGTGATCTCTCTCTCTGTCAAATAAATAAATAAAATCTTAAAAAAAAAATAAAGAAGATATGCAGTTGGCCAATAAACATACAAAAAAATGTTCAGCCTCACTTGTCATCAGGAAAATTGCAAATCAAACCATAGTGCAGTATCATGACATATCTGCTGGGATGCCTGAATGAATGTAAGATTGACAATAACAAGTGTTGGTGAGGATGTGAAGAACTGGAACTCTTAGAGTTTGATGAGAAAATGAGGAAACTATTGGATAGTGTCAGTGAACTCTGAACAAATGTATATCCCATGATGCAACAATTTCATTTACAAGAATGTTCATAGCAGTACTAATAACAATAGCCAACAATTGAAAACAGCCCAAACGTCCATCACTGGGAAAACAGAAAAATAAATTGTTAGAACAGAATGCTTTATACAGCTGTCAATCTTAAGCTTTTTCTTCTGAAACAGCCTCCTAAAAGCTCTAAGGTAAGAACAACTTTGGCAAAAGAAAAAAAAGACTTTGGCATGTCCTAATTGTTGGAAGGAGGTTAGTATTGTAGCACGCCAATAAAACAGAAATGGACTCAAAAGGAGGCCTTAAAAGTACTAGAGGGCCTTGTGTTCTCATGACAAAGAATTGGATTTTTAAATTTCAGTTCCATAGGAAGCTACTTGGGTTTGGTTATAAGTTTGGCTGCATGTGACAGAGACAAAAAAAACAATAATGGCTAAACTATATAGAAGGTTAATTTTCTCTTGCATTAAAGTCCAGGCTGGAGTGTAAGCTCTGCTCTGCAAAACCATGACACCACATCCACATTGCAGTCTGAGGAAATGGGAGAATAAAGGACATAGGTCATGGGCCACCTGGCTTGTAACCTTTCAGAAGCTACTGTATAATACACACTTTTTTTTTTTTTAAGATTTTATTTATTTACTTGACAGACAGAGATCACAAGTAGGCAGAGAGGCAGGCAGAGAGAGAGGAGGAAGCAGGCTCCCTGCCAAGCAGAGAGCCCGATGCGGGACTCGATCCCAGGACCCTGAGATCATGACCCGTGCTGAAGGCAGAGGCTCAACCCACTGAGCCACCCAGGCGCCCTAATACACACTTTTTAAGACAGAATTTAGTTACGTTGCATATTCTATAAAAGAGCCTGGGAAATGCAGTGTTTATATTGAGTAGCCTTGTTCTTGACTAAAAAACCATGGGTTCAGTCAATATACAATATATATTTGGGGGCAATTAGCAGTCTCCATAACATAATTCTTTGGCCTGGTGGAAATTGTTAAACACTCTTGTAGATGCTTATTAAGTTGATCTCATTCTAAAACTGACTCTGCTAGATTCTGATTGATTTGATCCAGAATGTTTCTTAAACATCCATAATTGCAACAAACTCTGAGGTAGATCACATTTTCAGAACCATGGGGTGCCTGTCTGGCTTGGTTGGTTGAATGTTTGGCTCTTGGTCTCAGGGTTGTGGGTTCAAGCCCCATCTTGGGTGTAGAGATTGCTTAAAAATAAAATCTTAAAAAAAAAATTCAGACCCACTGACTTGACTTGTTATTTAACTCCCTCACTTTCTCCTATGAGCTCTTCTTTCTCTGTGTTCTGTGTTCTCCTTACCCTTTTTTTCTTCATTCAGTTGCACGATGGTATTTAAGAGCTCTCGATGGTACTTAAGAGCTCGCCAAGCCTTTCATTTCTTATGTGAATTATTTTTCAGTTATCTCTTTTTTCTACCATAGATATGATATTTATTTTCTAACACAAAGCCAGCAATTAAAATGTGTTTCTTATCTTTCAGAGTTGGTGTCCAGGTGTGAGACCAAGAAGTTATCTCCAAAAAGAGACATTTATGAGACAGAGCCATCCCGATGGGCAATCATGGAACAATTTAAAAGTCATAACCCTGAGAAGACCATTTTCAGAGATATTTGGGAATGCAGTAGTCACTTTGAGACACAACAGGAACAGGAGGGCTATTTCAGGCAATTTGTTATCAACCATGAACACATGCCTATATTTAACAAACATACTTTACTCACTCAGGAATTTTATAATAGAGAGAAAATTTTTGAATGTAAAGAATGTAGAAAAAACTTCAGTTACCATTTATTTTTTAGTCATCACAAAAGAACTCATTCTGAAGAAAAACTTTCTGAATGTAAGGAATGTGCAGAAACTATTAATACATCGTATCTTACTAAACAGAGAATTCAAAATAGTAGCAAGTGCAATGAATGTAAGGAATGTTGGAGGGCTTTTCTTCATTGTTCACAACTTAAACAACACCTGAGAATCCATAATGGTGAAAAACACTATGAATGTAAAGAATGTGGAAAGGCCTTTAATTATGGCTCAGAACTTATTCTGCATCAGAGAATTCACACTGGTGAAAAACCCTATGAATGTAAGGAATGTGGGAAGGCCTTTAGGCAGCAATCGCAGCTTACTCAACATCAGAGACTTCATACTGGTGAAAAACCTTATGAATGTAAACAATGTGGAAAGGCTTTTATTCGTGGCTTTCAACTTACTGAACATCTTCGACTCCATACTGGTGAGAAACCCTATGAATGTAAAGAATGTGGAAAGACTTTTAGGCATCGCTCACACCTTACCATACATCAGAGAATTCATACTGGTGAGAAACCCTACGAATGTAGAGAATGTGGAAAGGCCTTTAGCTATCACTCAAGCTTCTCTCACCATCAGAAAATTCATTCTGGCAAAAAACCTTATGAATGTAGTGAATGTGGGAAGGCCTTTTGTGATGGCTTACAACTTAGTCTACATCAGAGGATTCATACTGGTGAGAAACCCTATGAGTGCAAGGAATGTGGGAAGACTTTTAGACAGTGCTCACACCTCAAAAGACATCAGAGAATTCATACTGGTGAGAAACCTCATGAATGTATGATATGTGGTAAGGCCTTTAGACTTCATTCACACCTTATTCAACATCAGAGAATACATACTGGTGAGAAGCCCTATGAATGTAAGGAATGTGGGAAGGCCTTTAGCTATCATTCAAGCTTCTCACACCATCAGAGAATTCATTCTGGGAAGAAACCTTATGAGTGTGGGAAGGCCTTTAATCATGGCTTGCAATTTAATCTACATCAGGGACTTCATACTGTTGAGATGCCAGTAAGGTTTCCTCTCCTTTCTCCCCATCCTAGTCTAGCATCATAATATCATTTTTAGAAATAGAGGTTTTCCTTTAATGTAAAAGTTGGTAAAATAACTAAATTTCATTAGTGTTGATTTATTTCAGTAATCCTTGGGAAAAAACTTCAAGTGGAAAAATGAAAAAGTAATTAACAGGTAAAAATTCTTAATTGCTCTGGTTCAATTGCTGTTTCTGGGTTGTTATAACACCCAGTATTGGAGATAATTTTATAAAGTAGTGTTTTTACTGAAACTAGTGAAATGTGGCAGAAATAAAATCAAAACAATTTCTTCTCATTTCACAAATCCCTGAGATAGGCCATATGGGTGTGTAGCTGTTTCCTGCTCAAGCATACCTGCAAGGATGAAGGGTTTATTGGATATGAGTGGAAGGTTATACCACCTAGAATGATATATTTCATGGCAATTTCTTTTTGCACAAATAATTGCAAACATTTTCTCAGGTGAATACATATAGATCTAACTCACTGTTTTTAAAGCTTTAGAATATTTCTAGTATGGGATATATATCTGTATTTTAAGCCATTTCCTGCTCTAGACATTCAGTTGTTTCTAAACATCCTCACATGATTCTTTTATTTCCGTTGGGTAGATTACCACCCATGTACAGTGTAAGTATGTTTTGATGTTATGTTGATTTTTTTTTTATTAAAAAATTTAGGTAATAAAAGCACATGCTACAAAATTCAAAAGCCATTAAACAAGTAAAGTAAAAATTAAAGCTTCCTTAGTATCTGGTTCTATAGCCACCTGGTTTACTTACCCAAAGTCAACCATAGCTGTCAATTCTTTTGTATTCTAGGGATTAACTTTTACACTCGATCTTAGCCAAAAGGCCGAGAAGCAATCTAGGGATTCACTTTTAAAATTCTTTGGATGAAAGTGGATTAATCATAATCTTTTTTTTTTAAGATTTTATTTATTTATTTGACAGAGATCACAAGTAGACAGAGAGGCAGGCAGAGAGAGAGAGAGAGAGAGAGAGGGAAGCAGGCTCCCTGCCGAGCAGAGAGCCTGATGCGGGACTCGATCCCAGGACCCTGAGATCATGACCTGAGCCGAAGGCAGCGGCTTAACCCACTGAGCCACCCAGGCACCCCGCTTAATCATAATCTTTTACTCATGAAATTCTCATCGTTGTTCCAAATTTAGCCCTCTTTCACTTATTTTCAGTATTATTCAGGGATTTACAAACATTGTGCCAACTACAAACTTACTTTCTTTCTGCTCCAAATCCTTCATATTCAGCTCTGCAATATTTGAACTCTCTTCTTTTATGATATTATTTATTTGAGTTCTCTGTGTTTTTGTTTAAGTCAGACAAGCAAAAGGTTTTTCAACTTTTTCTTTTTTTTTAAATAATTTTTATTTGTTTATTTGACAGAGAAAGAGAGATCACAAGTAGACAGAGAAGCAGGCAGAGAGAGAGAGGGAAGCAGCCTCCCTGCTGAGCAGAGAGCCCGATGCGGGGCTCGATCTCAAGACCCGGAGATCATGACCTGAGTTGAAGGCAGAGGCTTAACCCACTGAGCCACCCAGGCACCCCAAACTTTTTCTTTTAAAAAGACCAACTCTGGGCGCCTGGGTGGCTCAGTGGGTTAAGCCGCTGCCTTCGGCTCAGGTCATGATCTCGGGGTCCTGGGATCGAGTCCCGCATCGGGCTCTCTGCTCAGCAGGGAGCCTGCTTCCCTCTCTCTCTCTGCCTGCCTCTCTGTCTACTTATGATCTCTCTCTGTCAAATAAATAAATAAAATCTTTAAAAAAAAAAAAAAAAGACCAACTCTTAGGTTTTATTGATCCTTCCTATTGTCTTTTTAAAAATTTATTTTTTAAATTTCTTTTCAGTGTTCCAGAATTCATTGTTTATGCACCACACCCAGTGCTCCATGCAATACGTCCTCTCCATAATACCCACCACCAGGCTCACCCATCCCCCCACCTCCCTCCCCTCCAGAACCCTCAGATTGTTTTTTAGAGTCCGTAGTCTCTCATGGTTTGTCTCCCCCTCCAATTTCCCCCAACTCCCTTCTCCTCTCCATCTCCCCATGTCCTCTGTGTTATTTCTTATGCTCCACAAATAAGCAAAATCATATGATAATTGACTCTCTCTGCTTGACTTATTTCACTCAGCATAATCTCTTCCAGTCCCGTCCATGTTGATACAAATGTGGGTATTCATCCTTTCTGATGGAGGTATAATACTCCATAGTATATATGGACCACATCTTCCTATTGTCTTTTTTTTTTTTTTTTAAGATTTTGTTTATTTATTTGACAGACATCACAAGTAGGCAGAGAGGCAGGCAGAGAGCCCGATGCGGGGCTTGGGATCGTGACCTGAGCCGAAGGCAGAGGCTTTAACCCACTGAGCCACCCAGGCGCCCCTGGTTTCTGTTTTGACCCATTGGTTGTTCAAGAGTGTGTACTCCTGAAAATTTATTATTTTCACATATTTGTGAATTTTCCAGTTTTCCTCCTGTTTGTAGTTTCAAACTATTGTGCTCAAAAAAGTAACTTGATATGATTTCAGTCTTAAACATGCTACGACTTCTCTTATAGCCTAACATATGATGTATCCTGGAGAATGTTGTGTGTGTTCTTGAGAAGAATGTGTATTCTGCTGCTGTTGAATAGAATGTTCTGTGTATGTATGCTAGTTCCATTTGGTCTAAAGTGTTATTCAGGTCCACTTTTTCCTTATTGATTTTCTGTCTGAAATAGCTATCCATTGTTTAAAGTTGGATATTGAAATTCTCTACTGTCCTTTTATTGCTTTCTATTCCTCTCTTCAGGTCTGTCAGTATTTGCTTTATATATTTAAATGCTCTGTTGAATGCATACATATTTATAATTGTTATGTCCTCTTTATGAATTGACTATGTAGCGAACCTTGAATGTAGCGAACTATGAATTACTATGTAGCGAGCCTTGTCTCCTGACAGATTTTAACTAAAATTCTGTTTTTATTGATTTAAGCATAACCATTTCTGCTCTCTTGATTACCATTTGCACAGAATGTCTTCTTTCTTTTTTTAAAAAAAGATTTTTTTATTTATTTGAGAGAGAAATCAAGCAGTGGGGAGTGGTAAGGGGAGAGAGAGAAGCAGACTCCCTGCTGAGCAGGAATCCTAATGTGGGGCTCGATCCCAGGACCCCATAATCATGACATGAGCCGAAGGCAGACGCTTAACTGACTGAGCCACCCAGGTGCCCCAGAATATCTTTTCTATCCTTTCATTTTCAGCCTATGTGTGTTCTAAAGCTAAAGTGATTTTTTTGTAGGCAGCATATTTTGGGATGTTCCCCCCCCTTTTTTTTGGTTCAGTCAGCTACTGCATTAATTAATTAATTAATTAATTAAAGAATTTAATTCTTTACAGTTAAAGTAATTATTGATAGATAAGATCATGAAAATGTGCCATTGTCATTCATTGTTTTCTTACTGTATTGTAGTTCGTTTGTTACTTTCTTCCTCTCTTGCTATTTTCCTTTGCAATTTGATGATTTTTTCCCCAAATTTTTCTTTCTTTATTTTTTTTTAGAAGACTTTGTTTTGGAGGGCCTGGGTGGCTCAGTGGGTTAAAAGCCTCTGCCTTTGGCTCAGGTTGTGATCCCAGGGCCTGGGATGGAGCCCTGCATCGATCGGGCTGTCTGCTCAGCAGGGAGCCTTGCATCCTCCTCTATCTCAGTCTGCTTCTCTGCCTACTTGGGATCTCCGTCTGTTAAAAAATATATATATATTTAAAATACTTTGTTTTGAGGGGCGCCAAAGGGGCTCAGTTGGTTAAGCAGCTGCCTTTGGCTCAGGTCATGATCCCAGGGTCCTGGGATCGAATCTTGCATCAGGGAGTCGGCTTCTCCCTCCCTCTCTCTTCCTCCCTCCCTCCCTCTCTCCTTCTGCACTCATTCTCTCAAACTCTCTTGCTCTCTCAAATAAATAAAATCTTTAAAATCTTTAATAAATCTTTAAATAAAATCTTTAAATAAACTCTTTAAAAAAAATAAAAACAAAGATTTTATTTGGGGTGCCTGACTGGCTCATGGGTTAGGCATCTGCCTTCAGCTCTCAGGTCATGACCTCAGGGTCCTAAGATTGAGTCCCATATTGGGCTCTTGCTTAGTGGAGAGTCTGCTTTTCTCTCTGTGTCTCCCTCTCTGTCTCAAATAAATAATTAAAAAAGACTATTTATTTATCTGAGACACGGGGAGAGAGATAACGAGAGAGTACAAGCAGGGGAAAGAGGGAGAAGCAGGCTCCCTGCTGAGCAGGGAGCCCAACATGGGGCTCGATCCCAGGACCCAGGGATCATGACCTGAGCCAAAGGCAGGTGCTTAACCAACTGAGCCATCCAGGCACCCCTTTTATTTTTATTTTAAGTAGGCTCCACTCACAATGTGGGTATCGAGCTCATGACTCCGAGACCAAGAGTCTCATGCCCACTGAAAGAGCCAGTCAAGCACCTCTGATGTTTTTTTAAAATAGATTCCTTCTCTCTAACTTGTTTATCTACTATAGGTTTTTTCTTTGTGGTTACTATGAAGTTTACATAAAACATAACAGGTCTATTTTAAGCTAATCACAACTTAAGTTGCATAGAAATGCCCTGCTTTTATCCTCCCCCCCATTTTATATTACTGATACATTTACATCTTTTTATATTGTATATCAAGAAATTAGTGTAGCTAGTTATTTTTAATATTTTTGTTTAACTTTCATACTCAAATATGACTTATGCACCACCTTTGCAATTTTAAAGTATTCTGAAATTGACCATTTACCTTTACCAGTAAGTTTTATACTTTCCTAAGATTTTGTGTTGTTACTTAGTGTCCTTTCATTTCAACTTGAATTCCCTATAGCATTACTTTTAAGGCAGTTCTCAAGTGGTGATGAACTCCCATAATTTTTGTCTGTCTGGAAATGTCCTAATCTTGCATGTGTACCTTGCCATATCCATTTTAAGTTATCAAAATCTACTTTACCTGTGTATTAACTTAGTTCCCATGAGATGCAGAAATGTTACCCCTCGGGAGCTTTATTGTTTTATAAATAGAATTGCTTTTTAGATCAGTTAAGAGAAGAAATATGTATTTGTGCTCTATTTTTTATAATCACGTCATTACCTTTACTGGTGCGTTTTCGGGTACCATCTAAAGTCACTTTCATTCTGGAGAACTTTCCCTAGTGTATTTTGTAAGGTGGAAATTCCCTCATTTTTGGTTTGACTGGCAGTGTCTTTATTTCACCATTTTTAATTTTTATTCATTCATTCATTAAATATGTAATTAATTAATTAATTTAGAGAGAGTGCGAGCACTTCTTGAAGAGGGAGAGGGAGAGAATCTCAGGCATACTCCATGCTGAGCCAGAGCCAGATGGCAGATTTGACCCTGTGACCCCAAGATCATGACTTGAGCTAAAACCAAGAGTCATACACTTAACTGACTCAGTCCTTCTGGCATCCATATTTCACCATTTTTTTTTTTTTTAAGACTTTATTTGACAGAGCACAAGTAGGCAGAGGGAGAGGGAGAAGCAGGCTCTCCAC